TTTCCTCCATCACTCCTTTCCTTCCGCATACCTTACTCTTCCCTTCCCCCCTTTCCTCTTCCTCCACCCCCTCCCCCTCTACTCCTCCTCAATCCTCCTTTCCTCCTCCCCTCACCCTCCACCAATCCTCTTTCTCCCTCCTCATATTCCACCTCCTTCCCCATCCTCCTCCTCATCTCCACTACCCTTTCCCCTTCTTTCCTCTCATCTCTCCTGCCCATACCTCCACAACCCTCTTTCCTCTCCACCTCTCTAACCCCCCTCCCCCTCCCTCTCCCACAGTCTCCAGCAGGAGCAGCGGCGACGGCGAGGAAGCGGAGGCGACAGCGGCGACAACGACTCTGGGCTCGGGAGCGACGAGCCCGGGTGGGGGGGGATGAGGGGGGTCCGCGTCCCCCAGGGTGCGACCCCGCCGTGTTCTCGCTCGTCACGGTGCTTAGGGATCTCAGGTAAGGCGGGGGCTGGTGGGGGGGGAGTATGGACTTAAATATCCTTAAATATCCTTAAATATCCTTAAAAGCTTAAATGGTGTTCTGTGGTATGATGTCCTTTATAGGGTGGGATACAAATCGGGTTTGTATGTGGTCATCTGGACGATAGGATTTGAATATGATTTGATATGAAATAAAGCGTGATATGGTTTAAGATAAGGGGTAATAATGATGAAAGTGATAATAATGGTAACACTAACGATCATTTTTATTGTAATTGGACGATAACATCAATAATAATAATAATAACCAACTTAAAAAAAAGAAATTAATTATTTTTCTCTCATCTGATCACACATTCATCTTTTCCTCTTCCTCACCTCCTCCTTATCCTTCATCCTCCACCCCTCCTTACCCTTCCCCCTATCCTCATTCCTCCCTCCTCTTCCCTCCCTCCTCCATACCTCCCACCTACTTCCCCTTTCCCTTACCTCCCTCATCCTCCCCCCTTTCCCTCACCTCCCCTCCCTCATCCTCATCTTCCCCTCCTCCCTCCTTCCCTCATCTTNTCCCCCTTCCCTCCTTCCCTCCCTCCTCCCCTCACTCCCTCTCTTCCCTCTCTCTCTCTCTAACGAGCCTCCCATAATCCTTGAGTAACCCTTTGTATAGAACAAGTTGCGTGATGCCAGAGTGTCGTGTTAGCTATCTTTCTGTCTAACGTCCATTTTTTGCCGTGTCTGGGTCATTTGGCGTCCGTTGTTCGCTTCACTTGGTCTGCTAATTGTGCCTGACTTTCTCTATTCACACTCATGCCCCCCCCTCCCCACACACACATACACACATACACACACACACTTATACACACACATTACATGTGTGTGTGTATATATATATATATATATATATTATATATATTATATAATATATATATATATATATATTATATATATATATATATATGTATGTATGTGTGTGTGGTGTGTGTGTGTGTGTGTGTGTGTGTGTGTGTGTGTGTGTGGTGTGTATGTGTGCGTGTGTGTGTGATATACATAACCACACACACCACACACACACACACACACACACACACACACACACACACACACACACACACACACACACACACACACACACACATATATATATATACATATATATATATAAATACATACACTACATACACACACACTCATACAAACATATATATACATGTGAGACGTCAGACGAGTCGTTGCTCTCCTCTCGTATACATGTAGGCTCAGAGCTCGTATAAATGTCGTGTTTTACCCTGATATTTTATGTTGAAAGGCTTGATAAGTGGATTAATATAATTATGGAATGCCTGTGTATTTAAGTGTCATAATTCAGAGAGGTCGTTGCTTTCCTCCCGTATACAATGAGAGAGAGACAAGAAAAAGATGAGAAAATAAAGCGAAAACAACACGCTATAATGCTTTGTTGCTAGGGAATATATATTCGTTATTCATTCAGTTATTTTAATGGCCGGTGAATACAGCAACGGAATTAGGCGAAAGTGACAGTTCCAGTTGTATTAATTGAATAGATTAAGAATGAGATTATTTATTAGAGATAAGTGTAAGAGAGGATGATTGTAAAGATTAAAGGAAGGAGATCAATTGTCTTATGTTTAAGTAAAATCTTAAAAGACACTGATAGACTGGGTGTGAGAGTCTCGATTCCGTCTCATGTATTTTCAATTTATTTATATTGATGATTATGGATTTATAATTAGATGGAAAAAGGGAGGATATAGAATTAATGTTAGATATGAATCAAGTTGAGAATAGTATTTCTTTTGTTTAAATTAGAATATTTATTGCTACTATTTACATAATGATATGCCACCTGGTCATTATGATTTATTTATTTAATGAATAATAATTGTGAAAAATGTTTCTATGTCCGTTATATTTGACACACACAACAGAGTAATGAATTCATCCTATCCTACGTGCCATATCGGTATAAAAATTGAGTAGAAATGATATGATAATCTTGCATAAGAAAAAAATCCTAACATGACATACATAATAATTTCATATATATATATATATATATATATATATATATATATATATATATATATATATATATTATATATATATATATACATATATATATACATATATATATATAAATAATACATATTAATATATATAATATATATATATAATATATTATATAATATATATATATATTATATATATTATATATATATATACACATGTATACACACCACACAAAATACACTACACATCACACTCACACACACACACACACACACACACACACACACACACACACACACACACCACACACACATATTATATATATATATATATATATATATATATATATATATATATATATATATATATATATATATATACATACATACATATATGTATATATATACACATACACATATATATGTATATGTACTCGTATTGTGCACACACACACACACACAGATATATATATATATATTATATATATATATCATATATATATATATATATATATATATATA